TTTTCTGCACTGCAGAGATGCGTGAAAGAGGGTTTTTTCCAGAGTGGGTGAAGGGAAGTGAAGGATAACATTGATTTCAAAGAAGGAAAATATTTTACTGTATCTGCAGCTCCTTTATGAGACAATTTGCACTTTTAAAAACTGCTTTTTAACACTAATACTTTAACCCTTTCCAAATATGCATGGAACATGGTTTGTCCGGCACACTTGTCTAGTGTGGATGAATTACGCTCTGTTGAACAGATTTTATATTGTATCATGTTGAACTGTTGGTGAAAGATGTGCATTGATCAGTGGATCCCACCGTTGAATAGTGGATAAAACTTCACTGAAGCAGACTTAATCCCTCGTAGAGCTTTTGAAAGGGTAACATAAAGATTGTCTTTGGATGGGAAGACGGAGGTGTTAGTGACTTTGGTTGTTGACACTTCTGATATTTTCTAGAATAAGTAGTTGAGATGCAAATAACTGATGCTAACTTTATTATACTGGCAATCTAAGAAAAGAGCTAGTGAGTTTGGTTTACTATTAGGTTAAACCAAAAACTGGTCCAAGGTAAGTGTCATTAGAAGAGTATAGATATAAACTAGCAGTGGCAGGGGAAGGAGTGTTTGCTGTATTTTTATTTTTAAGGGTTAACTTTGCACCAGTGTGCCTTCCCTTCCTGTTGGGGGTGCTTGGGACCTCATAATTTCAAGTGACATCCTTCAGTGTCACTAGTTTTTTCCCCCCCTTACAAACACTTGAGAGAAATAACAGGGTAGTAGGTTCAGCTTTTCTTTCTTCCCTGTTTAGATTGTGGTGAAATCTGCTACGTTTTTCAGTAGATTTTGCACACAGGCTTTGTTCTGAATAAGTAAAAATACGATCCATCCAGTTGTGATTTTATAATTGGAGGAAAAGAACATCTGCTGTTTGCATTATTACTACCAAAAAGGCAATCCAGCTAAATGTCCAGGAAAATGCAGATGTACTCTTTCCTCCACTGTTTCTGGAAGCTAAGGTGGATATTGCCCTGCTTGACCAGAGGGTTTGTTCAGGAAGGTATCTAGATTTGATGACAGGGCCTTTTCGTGGTACTGTTGAACTAAAATTAAGATTCTAGGCAAACTGGCTTATAATGCCCATTGGTCTTCATATGTGAACAGGATCCAAACAGCATGTAACCTGATAGAAGAAACAGCCCTCGCTTCTGGTTTTGGTCCCTGTCCACGTACTGCGATCAGACCGTTGGAAATACGGTATCACTGTAACAAAGTTGAAACAGTTCAATGGAAATGAAAATACCATTTAGATGTACATAGGTGCATGGGTAGGGCTGGGCTTTGCCTTTATGCCCTTTAACATGTAGCTGTCTGTATATGCACTTGGGCTTTCCATTTGCTGCAGCTTCAGAGCAATAAAATGTAGCTCCCCTGAACTGTACCTAGCCAGCCGCCCATGGCTTTATTTATAAACTGCGGTTTTGGTTGGGTGGGAAAGGTGAGAGTGTCACTGTGCAACATCCACTGCCTTCCAAAAACCACGATTCAATTGAAAAGGGTGCTCAAAATTTTGTTATACACATTTCCTTTGTGTAAATAAATGTTTACAATTTTATATTAAAGATTTGAATAAGAGTTAGATCTTCTGACTGTATATTTTTTACTTTTTATAGATTTTAAAACTATAATTCTTTATATATGTGTTTGGGGGTGTTCTGGTAAGTTTTATGCTTGTAAATGGAGAACAGTTGAATTTGATGCTAACCTTTATGAATTTTTGTCATTGAAATGTATAAAGAGTCCATTAATCCCCTTATTCTTTTACTACAATTACTGGTGCACACCAAAAAGAAATCCTTCACTCCTGTTTTATCATTATAAAATAAATATTTTGCTAGTGTATTAAACATACATGGTGTGACTTTATACATTTGTGTGAGCTGAGCAGAGTTCAGCGTTGTTGTTCCTAGTGAGGTGGTTCCCTTCATCCCAACACACAATTTTGGTCAGCCTGTTACTAAGGCTCAAATTCTTCTGCTGTGTCTTACCAATTCTTACTGTTTCAGAAAGTCCATTTAAACAGGCCAGAACTGGATAAAGAGGCCTTAGAAAACTTTCCTTGGAAAACAAGGCTTTATGCTACACTGCTGCTTCTGGACTCTTTTTTTAATGCAGTTGTAGGCCTTAAGCTAGGAAATACGACTGCAGAGGTGGTTATTACTAGTGAAAAGGATGTTAGTAACTACCGAGACCTCACAGGTGCAAATTGTAGAGTTCCAAAAATATGCTCAGATTCCCCCAAAATAACAGCCCTTAAAGGTTCAAATTGGGTTCCTTGAGACTTGTAAAAAGACAAAGATTATTGGTTGTTTGACGTAGGCAGATTGCACAAAAAAAAACTAAACTGAGAAATGAGGAACATGTACTGCAAGCATGAGCTAGTGTTTCTGAACAAGGAACAAAACGCTGGTAGCAAGTTGTGTGAAGATTTTGGCTTAAAGCTGGTAAGGTGCCTAAGCCGCTGCATAGAGCTGGTGGGTTGAAGAGGCTGTGCAAAATAATGGCAAAATAGGTCTTTTGGGCCCTGCTGGGTTGCTGAGCCTCTTCAGATGGGCACTCGATGGATGTTGGTTAGAAAAGTAAAGCAATGACCTGTGGCTCCATCAGCACCCAAAGGAGCCTAGCTTTAGTGGTGTGTGTTCGGATGTTAATATGTTCTTGTTAACATGTTATTACTTGATGAATTACTCTGAATTGAACATTTCAAAGCAGTTCTCTTAGTGAATCATACCACTTGCAGCAGACCCAAGAATTCAGTTATTTGTGTAGTATTTCCTGTTTGTCAAGTACGCCTTTTAACTGATGATATCTAGTCCTAAGTTCTAAACTAACATCTCAGATCTCTCCAACCACAGATTTAGCAGTAGCGATAAAGAAGAATTTGCAAAGTGTGACACACGCGTTTCTTGCTAAGGCTGTATTCATTTTACGTGTGACTGTAATTTCAAGCATCCCCCTATGTAATAAGAATTTTAATCAGCTTCAAACATTGAAGGATCATTCTCCAAGCATTGAAGTTGGTGTTGTCTTAGCTATTGTGTTTAAGGCCCCAGCTCAGAGCCTTCAGATTTCCTCACAAAGTGCATCCTGACGTACCTGAGTGTATTTTCAGTATATTCCTGCTTGACAAGTTTTGAGTTGTGTTTGGGGGGAGGAGGGGACCTGTAACTTCAGAAGCTTATAAAGAACCAAATGTGATAGTAAATAACAACACCAGGATGAGCTGCTTCTAGCCTGTGGGGAACTGTGAAGTTACTACTTCATTAACTTTTGCTTTATTGTCCCATTAAAAGTGCTGCATTGTATTTAATGTTGAGTAAAACAGAAATTTCCCAAACTGTCCCCCGTTGAAGTGATGTGCACATGTATGTTTTTCCAAAGGTTTTAAGGAATCGGTGGCACCTTGTGACCAAGCTCTGCTCAGAAACTGTTTTTTTTTTTTTTTTTCCCCCCTGGCTTGATGTTGGTGTTTTTCCTGAGGCTAATGTAGCTCTGTACGGGAAGTGTTCTCTAAAGCCTGAATTGTTTGTTGAAATGGTGTAAGCAGAAGTAGACTGCTGGAGACGTTTCCCCTCTGACTTCTACATTAGACACCCCAGATGAAATCTTGGGTCACCAATAGATTCTGTTAAGATTAATTGTTTTATTTCTATTTCAGTCTGGGTCTGCTAGCAGCCTGGAGTGTCAAAAGTCATGTCCTATGAGTGTTTTGCAGAGAAAGGGAACAGTTTGCTATTCTACATGCATGTTTTACAAAAAACTGTACAATTGTACGTTTGAATTAAGTGTTCAATTTGATAAGCTGTCACGATGAGGTTTTGAGGTGACGAAGATCCAAACCAGAAGAATGAACTTGCTGCGTCCCACTCGGGAGAGACTGTAGGTCTGGTCACTTCTTGCTGGTACTGTGCACAAATTCTGTGCTGAGGTTGTGTGTGTGATGCTACAGAGAGAAATGCAATAGCTCAACCATATCCTTTCTCCTCTCCGTGCCAAAATTAACCTTAGTTGATAATGAATGATACCTTTTTTCTCCTTTTTGGTTTTAAAATCTTTAAAGTCACTAGTCTTTTGTCCATATTCTGTGTTTTGGAGCAACTTTATAACTTCTTGAACTGATGCATATTTTGCTTTTGTGGACTGGGGAGAAAAGTTATTCAGGGCTAAAATACTGCTGTTTTTCAAACTTTACATTTCACATTTATAATTCTGATGTCAGTGTAACATTTCTGAGGGTCCACCTGTTTCTACATCCTATGCTGCCGTCCATTCTGAACTGAGAACTTTTATTTTGTATGATAGCCAGGAAAAGGTTTGTACTGCAGAATTTTAAAAACACCGGAAAACTACAAAAAGTGAAAAGGACCATACTCTCATTTAGTAAACTTACAGTATTAATTAATAGGATAAAATATCTGAATGCTTTTTAAAAATTCAGAATCCAGTTAACAGAATTAAGTTATGCCAGCTGAAGTCTAGAAAACCTTTCATGCGGTCAACTCCACTACTTGGAATAAGAGCAGAAGGTCACGTCATTAATTTGTAAGTGCTTGTTAATTTTTACAACCTCGCACATGATTTAGATGCTTTAGAGCTGATTAAAACTACCAATAAATGGGCTGGAAAAATTCCCATCATCTTTCAATTGCTGGCAATATATAATTCAATCATGGTACAAAATCTGTAAATACAATTGCAAGAGTTTCTCAGTTTGCGCATGCAAAACCTTTGCTGTTACGTAGTTCAGCAGAAGGCACTTGTCTCGAATAGACGTTTTCTGGTGGCTGGCTGCTTTGGCAGGTTGCGTGGCGTGGGGAGGGTTAATGCGTGGTGGAGGAAACACGTGTTGCTGCAGAGCAGTGAGGAGGCTGCCTGGCAGAGCGTGCAGTAGTGGGAGGGTGGGAGAGCCGCTGTGCTGGTCGCACCTGGCTGGGCTTTTGGTCCACAGTCAGCAACATGAGGAACCAGATAGACCTGCTGGCCACTGTCACGGTTCTGGGAGTCCTGGAGCAAGGTAAATGTCCGTTATATAGTGCTAGGTAGTATTAAGCTAATTATATTCAACTTTGTGGAACTTGGTTCCTGTATTTTGGTTGGAGTCTCTGTGGAATGAAAGTTGCTGTTTTCCAACATGGTAAAACGATGCCAATGTTTGGCCATTCATGGTGGCAGTGACATCCTCAGTGACCATTGTTTAGTAGGGATAAAATGATCCGCAAACCTCAAAGCCAGCATCCTAGAAGGACATGAAATTTCAAGTTTTACTTTTAAACTTAAAACAATTTCAATGATAGAATGTCTTTAAAGTAAAATATTTTCTGTGATTGAATGTTAACAGGTAATTTGTAACTTAGAGTGGCTGGAGGTAGCCAAAATAAAGGCAGGCTAATAAATACACTGATGAAGAGGTCGGTGTACGAACATACACCGTATGTATGTAGAAAAGAGCATCAGGTATACCTGTGGTTCTCCTCTGTGACCAATATCGTCGTGTGTTCCATTCATACAGCTTAGCTGCGCGGGGCAGATGACAAGGTGAGTTGACAGCACAGAGTAATGTGGAAACTAATGCAAGCCCTTCTGGTCAGAAATGGATGCAGACATCTTCAAAGGAACTCTCGTAATTTAAATAGATGCATCTGGTTCACACCACCCAGCAAGAAGCAGTAGTGTTGCCAAGCTCTGTCCACCTCCTGTGTTGAATTGTGGGTCTCTGGGCAAAGGCCTCTCCCGCCTGGGCTTCAGGAGGGTCGCGGAAGGGGACGCTGCCCCTGCCCGGGGTGGGGACAGAGCCCCCATTTTATTGAAACCTTCATATTTCTGAGGGAAGGTTGGTTTGTGGGGTTTTTTATTGCTGAATTAATTCACTGTAGGGCTATCGCACCTCTTTGCTTACGAATGGCTGTAATCTCTGAGCAGTACATCTGATGTATTTTTAGCCGTCAGGTGGTAAATCTCTGAATATATTATTATTTAAAACACAAATATGCTACTTGAAGACTAGAGTTCAAAATTTCTGAATTATCAGTAATGTCCTCTCAAACAATTTACAGAGAAATATCAGCAACTACAAATGGAAGATACTTTTGTCTTATGAATTTTTTTGTTATTAAACTAAGTGGGGATGGAGGGAGTGTTCGGTGCGCAGAGAAGACATGAAGAGAACTTGAAATTGAGTTACGGGAATGTTGCTAAGCTCTTTCCATTGGGAAACCCTCAGTAGCAAATTCCTAGATAGCAGTTTTGTCTCAAATATATTTGGTTTATGAGAACTTCAAGTATTTTTTTAAAGGTTGCAGCCTCAGGCATTTTACTTTCATGCTATGCAAACCATACATAGGTGTGAAGCCAGCAGATAAGTCGCAAGCATTGGCACCCTCTCATCTGCATTAGATCAGACAAAGTAGCCTCGTTTTGTTGTCTCTGCGTGAGAAGCCAAGGAGCAATTACAAAATACTACGTGTTCCCTTTCTACTGGTAAGAAATGTGTGTGCTAATGTCACCTTGATTCAGAGCTGTGCAGTAGCTTTTCTTGCATTTTTGGAAAGGACGTTCTGTATGTGAGTTACAGGTCTGCGATTCCTTCTGAGAAGGCAGAGCAGTGCAACACCGACGTGCACTATACGTACAAATACTCTTCCATCACATCCTGATGGAGGAGACGTAATTTAATGGCTGAGCTTAGTACAGGGTTGGTTGATTTTTATTTTTATTTTCTTAATTTTCTGGGAGCCCACAGTTTCTGCATTCTTTCAGGTAACTTTCCCCTTTTTAGTTTAGTTACGCTCAGTTTAGCAAAGCTCTGAGCTTCGTGCTCTGTAGATACATGCCCCTGCCCTGTGTTGAATGCTGTACCAGAGAGCAGAACAATGCTACCACAGTTGTTTGGGGGGGGGTTGTGGTTGGTTTTGTTTTTTTTTTTTGTTCCCCTTTTTATTATGGCTTCAAAGGAAATAAAGCTTATGCAATGTCACTGTCTGTCAGACCCCACAGAGCTTGTTTGCCAGGTTCACTCAAATGTGGTAGGTATCAGCTATAATATGGTTTGACAAGTTTGTGGACATAATCAAATAAGGAATGAAGGTCTGGCTGATACTTCCACTGAGGAGCAAAGTGCACAGAGAGCTCTAGCCCCTGTAAGCCAAGTGGGAATCCACACAGGAGTTTAACCTCGAGATATGAATCACAAAAAACTAGTTTGAAAGGTTCTGCAGAGTAGATTGAACTCTTTTCCCTGAAAGTCCACGCTGAGAAGGCTTGTGCAGTGTGGTTTTTTTTCAACACCTCATTCTGAGAAGTGCTTTTGGAGGGTGATTCTTCATCCTTAATTCTTCACCCATACACAGGTTTGGAGGACAGCTAGCCATCCTCCAAAAGGCTCTTGCTCCTCTTGGGTGGTTGTTTTACATACTATCCATCCCTAAGCACAAGGGATGTGTTGCAGGACTTGTCTGAATCTTTGCCCCTGTATACAAGCAAGATGTTAAGCATAGAGCTGATGGAGAGGTTGGGTCTGAAATTATTCTTACCATGTTCGTCAGTCACAAAAATGCTACATCAGGAAGGGTACAGATGGCACGAAGCAGGATGAAGACTGTTGCCCAGCACAGTCAGGCTTATGCCACAAGCCAGAGCTGTGCACGATGCAGTAACTTTAGCTCGGTCCATTTCTTGAGAGGTGGCTGGGATGAGACCCTGAGAGCATTCAATAGTTGGAGAGATGTGCTTATCTGATGTGAAGAGGAGGTAACAGGATCTTTCATCATCTTTTTCCCAGAGCTCTGCCAGCTGCTGCTGCATTGCCAGCTGTGCGCTAGCGCAGACCTAGCGCTCTGCTTTCACAGATGCCGTGTGCATCCTGCCGCATCTCCGAGGCAGAACGATATCCTCACCCTGGCCCAGAATCGGCGTGCTACACACGGATCAGGAGGGGAAAAGCAAACTTCTTCCTCCCCACCCTTTTCTCCCAGCACCTCTCGTTTAGAGCTGGGTCACTGCACACAGTGTGGAAGGCACTAGAACACACGGATGTTTTCTTAAATGAATGTCTGTGTATTTAAATGGACAATATGTTGTGTAATACACAGATCACATAGATCAATTATTTACATTTCTAATTCCCTTTTCTTCTACATATTTTTTAACGCTTTTCTGCAGGCACGCATGGTTCTGTCTTGTCTTTAATCTTGCAACATCTGTCCCTACTTTCCTTCTCTCTCCTACTGTTCTTTTATCTTGTTAGAATAAGACAGTCCACAAAGCAGTCCTTGCAGCCTGGCTCCTTGTCCCTCTCTTCGATGCTCTGGAAACCTTGCTCTGTTAGCAACTTGCTAATCCAAGTGACTCGCTTTGCAGCACGCTGCCACAGCCACCAAAGTACTTGTTTTTATAACTTAGTTTTCTCTTATATGAAAATGCTCTTTTCCCATAAAGGCAACAATATAGTAGTGCACCTAAAAGATAAATACTTGAAACATCAGCAATCACCTGTGGGAGTAAGAACTTTCATCAAATAGTGAAATGGTCCAAATCTTCATGTTAACAAGTTTTCAGCATTAAGAAGTGACTTTCCATGTCCCGTACAAATGTTCAAAGGAGCGATGTAGCAGACGCAGAGTTAGCACCTCGGCCCAAACTCGGCACAGGCAGTCAGTGGCAGCATGCCTGCGCCTTGAACTGCTCAACCTTGGGGCTACCCTGCAGGAATGAAGTGGAAGAAATAATCGCCCCCTTCCCCATTTGCTTATATTGCCATGATTACGAGCATCTCTAATTGACTTAATGATATCCCAGTGCTTCGCAGTTTGGATGCTGCTCTGTGACGTGGTGCCATCCTTGTACAAAAACCTTGTGCCCGCTGGGTATAGTGGGGGGGTGTAACACGTTATTCCCATCAGACTGACTGAGGGTGTACTCATGCTTTAAATACAGAGTGCAAGATTAAAAAAAGAATCTCAATTCTGTGACGGGATGTGGTCTCAGTAAGGTTTTAATGTGCGTTGCTGGCCTTCCTGGTGTGTTTGATCTCTTGGGGAGCAGCACCAAGGGCTCTGCTGCTGCGCGCCGGGCGGCTGGCTATGCAAAGCGCCAGCCAGCACGTCGGCTCTGCCGTACACGTGCTCGCAAGGATAACCAAACCTGAATTTAAAGTATGAGCCTGAAATAAATGCCACATTTATTCCAGGTAATGTGTGACTATGAACCTAGACAGTATCAGTGCTTTTCCTCTAACCACTTGCTTGATTCCAAGCTAGATAAAGCTTGGCTAAATAAAACGCAGCTGGACTGTTACTATTCCTGTGTTGTTCTTTTTTCAGCCTATTTTGCACTGCAGGTGATCTATGCCCGACGGAAGTACAAGATCTCCCCTCCCGAGACAACAGGTCACCCTGAATTTGAGCGGATCTTCAGAGCTCAGTAAGATTTTGATTTTTTTGTGATGACTCAATCTAGATATGACTTGAGTCAAGTGTCACTACCAGGAAAGACTGAAGTCACCCTCAAGTCACCTTTTCGCTTACTGCTGCTGATAGTAGATTATTTTTTTTTAATGCTTTGCGTGCAGAGGTCTGAGTTTCGATTTGGAGCACTTTGCTCCGGCTGGAGTATTTCTGTCCATCCACGATAATTCTCCTTCTGGCATCGTGAGAGGCAGCCAAATTACAAATTAGTGGCTGTATGGCAGAGGTGCTGAGCATTAATGCATTATAATCGTTAATGTTGGCTCCAAATTGTGAGAGTAGCTGAAGCTACATTAATAACCTAATATTTGCTTGTAAGTTTTTTTGCTGTTGAATTGAAGCAAAAGGCCTTGCTGGCAGAACTAGCTACAAGGACGTTTTTATTTTTTCTTTTTTTAAGCCATTGTACTGTGAAAGTCGGCACTTGTGGGCCCATGCCAAGGGCTGTTTCTTTTTGCTCTGTTCCTATGGAGAGAGCAATGCTGGAGCTACACTGGAAACGTTCACAGACCCCTTCGGCTTCCAGCAAGCACCGGATTCCGTCTTTTATCTCAGTCGTGCTGTTTCATAAGCAATTGAAAGGAATTGGCCAGAGCTGGTTTGAAGGGTAGCTCGAGCACGGCACTAAATCCTGAACAAAGCAGCTGTATTTCTTTACCAGCATGCAAGAAACACTTGTGGAGTGATAAAAACACCCACTTCGGTCCTTTTGCGATGCAGAGAAAGGTTAGCCTGCATGGGAGGCATCAGCCTTTGCTAGCTGGGTAGCTGTTGATGAGACTTTTAATTAAATACTGGGCTGTGCGTTAACCGAGTCGTGCTGGGGGCTGCGGCATACCGGGAAGCCCTCCACTATGTTCTGCAGAGGAGGCGACCTCAGGGAACTTGAGTTTGAGAAGGTATTTCTTCATTGTGGGCTTTTTCCTCCCTTTATTCTTTTCCCTGTAGAAAAGGATACAAATGGATAATTTGTTTTGATATATTAAAAAAAAAAGAGAGGAAGAAAGGTATTGATTTATTACTCACTCGTGGAAACTTGGCAGCCTCCCCTCGCTGAGGCTCAAACTGCATTTGCAGTGTAAGGTTCTTCAGACTTTTTCCAGCTCCCAATCTGGCTCCGTTCCCTGAGGCTTGGTAAATTTTTGGCCAAATTTAAGATTAAATTGCCTAGGGAACAGTAAAATGTAGGAGAAATCAAGAAACAAAACCATTGTCTTTAATAGCACAGCTCCCACTGCCCTTTCCTGCAGAAAATCTGTATTTTTGTCACTAAAAGGAAGGAGGAAAACCTGGCTGGAGATCTGATCACCTTCTGCTGAATTAAATCTGGGAGAAGGCTCCTTCTTGGAGCATGACCTGTGTGACACCCAAATTTGAGCTGTGCTCCCCCAAGGGGAAGAGAACGCTCCTTAAATAATGTCAAGGAACCTCCGCCCTCGCAGCTGCTAAGCTGTAGCTGCGCTAGATGTCTGTGAGGCACCGTGCGCGCGGGGCCGAGGATGGAGCCTGTCGAGGGGCCAGCAAAGACAAACCTCCATCTCGGCCAGGGCTCGTCATTGCAGGGTCCATGCGAATGCGGATGAGGTGAATGCTGTGCGGTTTTGGGTGCTTTTCTTCTCTAAAACACAGATACTGGGTGTCCTTGGTCGCAGAAAAGGCCCTTTCTCCCCAGCACAGCACAGCAACGCCTCTTACCGGCCCTTTCCGTTTGCTCTGACGCGCATTTCCAGCTCACCTCTCTGGCCTTGGTTAACCGGCCTCTGAGGTATGAGGATGCAGTTTTAATGCTCATCTCTGGTTCTCACCAGGGCAAATTGCTCAGAGTACTTCCCGATCTTCGTCTCGCTCCTCTGGGTTGCTGGAATCTTCTTCCATCAAGGTAAGGGGGATGGGGGGGAACCCCAACCCAAACCACATGCACCACATGGTCAGCCCTGAATTGGTCAGGCAGTTGGACTAGATGATCGTTGTAGTTCCCTTCCAACTGAAATAGTCTAGTCCAGTCTAAACCAAAAAAACCCCAATTTAAATCCCATTGCGACTCAGGCGCGTCCTCTCTGTACCCGTGAGGCTGTTACTGAGGGAAAGCAAAGTCCCCCGCCGGCCGGCCGGACCGAGGAGCGCCCCAACCCCAGCGTGCACGAAGCTGCTGGTAGCAGCCGAGCCGGTCTCCTGCCCAGAGGAGAGGTTTGGTGGCAGCGGCAGCCCGCGCTCCTCCGCCAGCACCCCGCTGTCGCCCCATGCTGCTTCTCTTAGATAAGGTGGGGCTGGCGCGTGGTGCCAGGGCGGCGGCAGGGCCGGGAGCGGCGTAGCTCTCTGCTTCGGAGGCTGCTGCTTCCCGCTGCGCCGGGGAAGGTGCAAGCCGAAGCTGAGCTGCAACACGGTACCCAAATTGCTATGTCAGAACGAGAAACCATAACCCAAACAATTAGTCATCCACTGTCCATCCCGTACCAAGCAGGTTTAGGGGATTTGGCTGCCGCCACGGGGAAGATGCAAGGAAGGACCACAGGCGGGAGCGTTGCAAACCCAAGACCCAGGGCAACTTCGGGGTTTTTTTTTGAGGTTCATCCCTCACAAAAAGGGAAGGAAGAAAACCCTTTTAAACTCCCACAGTGCTTTAAAGCCAAGTTTCTCCGTGTTTGGTTCTCGTGGCCGTGCCCCCAGCTGCAGGGGGAAGCGGGGGCATGGGTGACTGAGCTGGGCTGCAGCTCCGGCAGTGTCTGGGGACCCGTGGCCCCATCAGGACTCGGCTCCCCTCTCCCCCGCAGGTGTGGCTGCGGCGTGTGGGCTGCTGTACCTCTACACCCGCTTCAAGTATTTCCAGGGATACACCGTGGCTGCGCAGGGACGGTTAGTACCTGGGGGGCTGTGGGCACCCCAAACCAACCCAGGGAGGCTGGGTGCAGGATGCGTC